GATTGCATTGTATTATAGCTGACAATGTATTAAGCAAATTTACGAAGGAATCACATTCGAAGATCTGACACAGAAATGTTCAAAATCAACAGGAACTGGGGTTCGGAATTGCTCAAAATAAAAACATCTCTCATGTTTTCCGCCTAAATCATCTAACCATAACTCATGGTCAAATGTTATTCGAAAAACTCTATCAAATGAATTCTTTGACTTAAATTTTCAAGAGAAACGATCTAGAACAATACGTATCACTATGTCATCATGAAATTACAACATGCAATTAAGACATTTTTGTGTAAATCACATTGAAAAAGCTCCAAGACCTTAATGGATATCTTCATTTTACTTCCCTCAGAACTTCACTGATTCATAATTTCAAGAAAATTTACGCTCAAAAACCAATGATAGATATAATACAATAAAAGAAAGAACGAAGAAAATTTTAGGGACGTTCCGAGCTTTTTCAACGGTTTCTTGTGGCGCTAAATTCTGAGATTCCAGAGCACTCACACCTATCCAAGTTTCTGGTGAGTTATCTGAGGAGGATGCAGATTTTGAATCATCAATTATTTCTGTACCTAGAGTTGCATTTGGGACAGCATTCGAGGCGATCGGAATGTCTGGATAGTCCGTTTTGTTTGGAGTGACCGCCCCTGTGTCAGCGAAGGGTGGATTTTCTGGTGGTACTGATCCAGCATAATCACCTGGCTTGGTTTGATAAGCCATGTTTTCTGGAAGCAGTTTCACCTGATTGGATTCACTTTCTGACTCGGAAGACGCAGATGGTTCAGTAGCATCTTGTGCAGGATCCTTCAGAGGTACATCATCTGCATTCACCTCCTTTTCAGATTCAGAAAGTTCATCACCTTGAGCTCCATCGTCCTCTTGTCGTACATTAGATTTTTGATACGTTGCATTGGCCCGTTCTGAACCATATCCCGCTACTGCATCCTTCACGGCTTTCATAGACTCATCGAATTGCAGTAGTTTTCCGAGTTGCGTTGATAGTAGCTGTAGCGGTTTCTGCTCTTCAAGTTTAGATGTGATTGCATTGTATTATAGCTGACAATGTATTAAGCAAATTTACGAAGGAATCACATTCGAAGATCTGACACAGAAACGTTGAAAATCAACAGGAAGTGGGGTTCGGAATTGCTCAAAATAAATACAGCTCTCATGTTTTCCACCTAAATCATCTAACCGTAACTCACGGTCAAGT